GCTGGGGCTGGGGGGCTCCCCCCGTTCCCCCAGCCATTCGCACGGGGGAAACAGCAAGAGGAAAGCCTTCACTGCTATGGCAACTGGCTGCAGCGCCGGCGGAAACAATCGTTGGCGCCATGCCATTTATAGTCAAAAAACACAAAGGGCCGGCGTCCTGGAAGGAAGCAGGAGGCGGGCGGCCGGAGGGACGGGGAGCAGCATGGCCGGGGGGCTGCTGCCCACCCCAAGCCCCCCAGGGCGGCATCGCCTACCCTGCTGCCTGCCCGGCACTGCCAGACCCCGGCTCCCGGCAGCAGTGGTGGGCTAGTCCCCAAGCAGCCGCCGGGACCAGCCGAGGGATACCGGGTGGATCAAGGCAGGTTTCGATTTCTCCAGCTCACGTTGCTTTAATTAGGTTATTATAAACGGGCTCTTTTAAGCAAATTAGGCTTCCGCTAATTAAGGCCTTTGCAGCCCCATAATCTGGTGAAAGCCAGATTACAGCTCGCAAGGCCATGGGGATCCTCAGCTCCGATGGCAGCGCGGCCGCTCGCCAGCTCCCGGGAAGCCCTCCGGCGTGCCAGGGCATAGCTGGAGCCGTGGGTGCCCCGGGACCCTGCTGCGGGTGCAAGGGAGGGGGGGCCAGCACGCCGCCGCGGAGCAGCTTGAAAACAGCCGGAAACACACGCGGCCTCCGGCTGACAAAAAAACAGGAAACACCGTGGCAGGGCTGCGCGCGGCGCTGGCAGCACTCGGACCTCACGCCCAGCCCCGGGGTGCTGGCGAGCTCCCGCCCCGGCACTCTGAGTTCCTGGCGCCCCAAGGGGCTGCAGAGGAGGAGGCTGGGGGCTGCTGCAGAGGGCTGGTGCATGGGCAGCCTGCGTGCCAGGCATGGCACGGGGCTCCTCATCCCCAGGGTGCCCTGTGCCGGCGGCACCACGGGTGGAGCACCATCCCTGCAGGGATGGACGGGGCATCAGCTATTGCACCAGCACCTCCGCGGGGCTAGAGAAAGGCTGGAGCAGCAGCTCGAGAGGGCTCCTAGTTAATACCTGTCCAACCCCCGTAACGTGCCAAACGCTCCATAAATGCACTTACGGTGATACTCGATTTGCAGACACTTTGCAGATGTATTTGCTCAAACGGTGCATGGGAGCTGCCAGGCATCTGCCGGGTCTCCCATGCCTCCAAACCAGCGCCCACGGCACAGCACGGCACTGCCGGGGAAACGCCGGTACTGGCTGGGGAGCGATGGGGCTGAGTGGGCCAGGGGCCAGGGGCCAGGGAGGGCAGGTGGCGATGGGGCTGAGTGGGCCAGGGGCCAGGGAGGGCAGGTGAATGCCAGGCAGGAGGAAGCGAAAGCTGTGGGCGCCGGAGGAAAGCGCCGGCAGGAGCTTCTCCAGGGTCGGTGCTTGCCGGGAGCTTTCCTGCAACCTTTTCCCCCAGTGACCTCAGTGCAGAAGAGGGACACACCGGCGCCAAGCGGGAGGGGACGGCTGGACTGGCACGCAGGGGGACCAAGCAGCTCCCAGGATTGCGGCAAGTCCCAAGGGTGCTCAATCCCCGGCGGGGCCAGCCTTGGTAGGGGTTTCCCAGCACACCATGAGCTCCCCCTGGCCCTGCTTTACCATGAGGGGTCTGGGCAGAGAGGGCAGGAAGGCACCGTGAGAGCTGAACGCAGCCTCAGCCGCACCACCCTCTTCAGCAATCATACTTTAGGCAGATTAACTTATTTATTAAATCCCTTCAGGCATAAACCCAACCAGATGCAGGCAACTTATCTACCTAAACACTAGTTTGCTGGCTAATACGCTAGTATAATGCCAAGTCTTTCCATATAAACTCAGTTAAAAAGTCTTTTGAAAAGCCCCTTGTGCATCCTACTCATCCTGTTCAGACATGAGGGTCCCCAGTGCTTTCTCTGGGGCTTTTTCTTTCCTTCATGGCCCCATGAAGGGCCATGAGGACGGGCAGGACCCCCGGCTGTGCTCACATGGGGGGAGCCATCTCAGGGACGCCAGGGGAGAGCATCCTCCGGGAAAGGGCAGTGGGCACAGAGCAATGGCAGGAGGGGGATGCCCCGGTGCCCCCCTCCCGGGGGACACAGCACCCCGCCAGAGGAGGAAACACCTTTCAAAACATCCGCCTTCCCAGTTCTGCTCTGGCTCAGCCCCAGCGCCAGGCGGGAAGTGGCAGCACCAGCCCCCAAGCCTGGTGATGGGGAACAGCAGCCCCCAGGGGGATTTTCTGTTGCTCACTAAAAGCGACGTGGCCCACGGGGCTTGGATCCAGCCGAGCTGGGGGAAAGGAGCAGGGGTACTCACTAGGCAGCAGAGTCGTTCAGCTGGTACTCTCGAGAGCGGTTAAAACAAGCCTGGACCCCGTTGTCAGCCCACAGCCTCCGGATCACATTGGCCAGGTCCTCCGGCATGATGCCCTGCTCCTCGGCAGTGCAGGAGAGCGCGAAGAGCTGCCGAGCGTCATCCTGCAGGGAAAAAACAGGACTCGAGCATCGGCACAGGGTTATCGAAGCCCACTCTGCCCCAAAGGACCTGTCCGGAGTCCACCATGTCCCACCTGGACAGCAAGGCAGGAGCTCCAACAGTGGATGGGGACAAGACCCAAGGAAAGCAGTGGGACCCCCACCCCTGCACCCATCGGGAGCCATGCCAGGGCAGGCCACCCATGAGTTATGCTTTGGGCCCCCCCGTCCTCAGCACCAGGGACAGGAGATCACAGCCCACCGTGGAGCAGAGGGGCTTGGGCAGGGCTACCCTTAATCCTGGTCCACCTTTGGGCGCATCTGTTTTTGCCACCCAAGGACCCCCCACCCCTGTCAGGCGCAGCAGGAGCAGGAGGGCACCCACCGCTCTGGAGGAGTCTCCAAAGTCAATCTGCAGGTTCCCCATCGCCTTGATGATGGCCATGATGGACTGGATGGTGTTGCTGTAGACCACGGCTTTGTACTGCCGGCACTCCTCCTCCGAGTAGCCATCCTCGTGGATAATCCTGGGGCAGGGGAGAGACACAGGCAAGGTCAGACCTTTGTGGGGCACCCCAGGGTGCTGCCCCCCACCCATGCTCTGCGGCAACACTGATGGGAGCTTTCCCCGGCCGCCACCGGTTTCAGAGCCCGCGGCCGAGGTCTGCGTGGTGTTGACCGCAGCAACGGTGCGGGGACCACTCACTTCATCTGTTTGACGATGGTGCTCTTCCCAGACTCACCGGCACCTGCGGAGAAACGAGAAGGGCAGACAAGCAGTGAGGTGCTGCCCGAAGCCGGGGACCCCCACCCTACTGGGACCCCCCCAGCCCAGGGAGGGAGGGCAGCGGGCGCCTCAGCCATTGGAGAAGAGCTCCCAGCGTTGGCCAGAGCAGATGCTTGGATGGGCACTGGGAATGTCAGGGCCAAGAAAGGGGCAGGAAGAGGGGAGCCTGGGGGGACCTTGCAATAGCTCCCAACGGGAGAAATGACACCTGCTCTGGGCCAGGAAAATGGCATCAATGCACTGATGTTTGCCCCGTGGTCCCAGCATGCTGCAGCCAAGACAACTGGCAGCCCTGGCTTCGGCTGAGCTTGGGGACCCCCTGCAATGGGGGGCTAAGCCCTGCCCGTCACTTGCCATCACAGTTCCAGGCAGAGCCTGAGCTTAGCTGCTGCATCCTGCATCCCTATTGTGCCGGGGGACAACAGAGCGCCAGCCTCGCCACGTGCCCACAGCTGGAGCCAGCAGCGGCCAGGACACGGAGATGCTCATGCCACCAGGTACGGGCAGGGGGGCGGACACCCAAAGCCGAGCACCCCGGGAACTTGGGAAGAAGCTGCCACCTCCGCCAGCTGGCTCAAGCAGCTCCCAGCGGGATCAGCAGCCCCCGGGGTTGCTTTTTAAATAGTGCGCACTTTCCAGCCGGCCGGGGCCCGCGCCCCAGCCAGGCTGCGGAGGCGGCTGCCAGCAGGGAAAACCGACGGCTTTTGGGGTGGGTTTATTTTTCAGCATCCAAACACGGGATGCCAGAGGTTCAGAAGGGACAGCCAGGGCGCCTAAGGCTCCCCCTCCGCCACCCCGTCCCCCTTGGGGTCATCAACCCCACGCAGGCGACGTGCAGCTCCTGGCCCAGCCCTCCCTCCCCGGGCTGGGAGCGGGGAAGGAGCAAAGTCACCCCGGCTGCAAGAAAGGGGAAGCTCAAAGGGGAAGCTGAAAGGGACGGCGCATGTCCCTTGTCCCCTTTCCAGGCAGGGAGTGCCACCGAGATGAATGAGCGCCTGGCTCATCTCACCCTGGGACCCCCAGCAGGACGAGCCCCATTCCGCCGGGGACCAGCGCGGTCCCTGCCTCCAGGTGCCAATCCCAGGGGATCCCCCCAAGCCGAGCCCGTCCCTGCGTCCTCTACCACTCCTCTCAGGGGTCCCTCTGCCACTGCCCTCAGCCACAGAGCTGCCCTTACGGGGCGCCCCCAGCAGGCAGTGG